ATATATATATATATATATATATTTACAAGATGTGAGATACTGTCTTCATGGAAATAAAATGTACAGAAAGTGATTTGACCAACCCTCAAAATTGACTGTACAAATCAGCAGAAACATAAAGAATAGACTAAAACCATAGCACAGTAGCAAATGATAAAAAAACCTATCAATTATTTCATTTGAGCGTGTTATATTCTATGCCTACATCTAACTGTAACATCAGTCTGGATATATTAGTTTGATTATGTTCGTCAAATAATTTGGAGGTCATTTTGTAATGTAGCTCACAAACAATCCAATACATATCAAAAGTAAATATCATTTTGTCCATCAATTCTTATATATTTTTAATTATTCATCAGTGTAGAGACAGGTGACATGTCATGCTTTCGTCACTTAATAATAATAATAATAATAATAATAATAATAATAATAATAATAATAATAATAATAATAATAATAATAATAATAATAATAATAATAATAATAATAATAGCATTGTAATTCATGCGTACATGCAATACTGAAAGAAACCTTCTTTCTCTTCTTTAAGGTTAAGTTGATCTATTTATCAGTTTTTGCCTGACCTTTGTTCCTTAAGATGTGATTGCTACCCAAAATAGTATCCAATTATATTTGTCTGATGTTATTTATATTTGCGACATGCTAATTTAGGGTTTATCTAAACCCATTTTTCTTTGTGTATTTTATCTATTAATTGTATAGCAACAAGATGGTTCTTAGTTCTTCGGTTTCTGTTTAATATGCTTGCAGCTGTATCGTTTTACAGAGTGAAACTTTGGAATTAAAATTTAATTATTATTTCCATTTTGTTTCTTTTGTCTTTGTATTTATGTATCTTTTCCATTCTATGGGGCTCTTTGGCAAGCTTTTCAGTTGCACGTAGTGTCTCATAGTATAGCTTTTGTAAAATATTCGTCCGTTCCTTGTACCGAAGAATAATCCTCTTTTCCTTTTGCATACTGCTTGTGTCTATAATTGTTTTAGCAGCATCTTTCTGCTTTAGATTTAAGAACAGATTTCTGCACATCATTTTTATATGACACCTATGATATTTAATCGAGGAAGTAACATTGAACACAATGGAAATATGCACTGAACTAGGGAAAGCAGCTATCAGGCTTTCTCACATTTCCACACTGGCCATGCACAGGATTCGAATACACATGAGATTACAATGTTAGGTAGAGCTCCCTAGTCTACTCGTCTCCAATAATAGTATCTTATTATGGTTCTCTGTGTATGTGTGCATTATGTTTAGTTTGCAAGTTGTGCTGTAGTAGTTTGAAACTTATAACTCAAAATGGTATACAATATTGTGATGGAAATGTACCTATAAGAACCTTTCTTGTTAGTTTCTTTTTAAAGACAAAAGTCATTCATACCTTTTGATTTTTTCAATTAGGGATTTTCCTGAATATTCGAAGGATGTTATTGATGAAATCAAGCAATTATAAGGCTTTTCTGTTTTCTTTTTTTATTGCTGTACGTATGTCTTTTGTAAGAAGTATGGGAAGAGACAGTTCCTCCATTTCTTTACATATCTTCTCCTTTACCATCATTTGGATTCAAGGAAGGTAAAAATGTACATATACAAGCTTTGCTTTAGGCAGCATTCCTTTATCGTGAGGACCTATTTCTTGCATGCAGAGATTCATAAGCCAGCCCTTATCATATACACCTCAACCAAAGTTGGAGGAAACAAATTCTCTGTATTTCACCTCCTATCACATATCTCCTAAGACATTGACGTCTTTATCTGCAGCGATTACCCTGCCCATGTGAACTAAAAAAGAAATGAACCTGGTGGACCCGTTTTCACGCAATAACGCATAAACTCAGAATAGTTTGTTTACTATCAAATACATCGAACTTTTTATACGGTAAGCTCAAAATAGATTCGTACTTGTTTTATTAATAATGTTAGCAGCTAACATTACGGCGGACGCCATCAAGTGTACTGTGATAACTTTTACTTCGAATTTATTATTTACGTCTGATTCAAAATATTGACAAAATTATCCATGTAAACAAATATATGAGTATGACGTACATCGTCGCATGATGCCCAAATATGTAGTCGGCGACGCGAAAATCCTGCAGAGGTCGAAATACTTTGACATTAATTATCATAAATTTTAGGTGTTTTAATGCAAAGTGATGTATTTTTCAAGGAGAAAAAGTTTATTGCACTGAATAAAGCAAGTCTTGCTGTGTAATAGGTTTTGAAGGCCATTGGATGTCTTATCTAGTTAACGTTTATACAATATTTATATTATCAAGATTAGATTATCTCTCTCACACACGGATACGCACGCAGACGCGCAAGTGCATAGTGTAGATAAAAATGTAGAGCAATCATTATGTAGTTTGCAAATAAAATCGGACACTGTTGCTTTAGCTCAGTTTCCTAATCGTTTTGGAATAGTCATGGAATTTCATGTTTGTTTTCACAATTACTGTTTACTTTAACACCGTAAATAACGTTGTAAGGACACATTTCTACCTCTATCAACTATTTCAAGTCTTTCGACAATGTAGCATGTATGCAAAGCAGTGGAAACACCATTGATCAGAATTTGTTGTTGGCTCAAACTGCTCACAGACCTTCACATTTTAGCAAATTCAATTATTTGGAATTAATATTGGATGCAATATTCCACTCTTGTCTTGGTATCTGCGCGTAAGTGTGTGTGAGTGTGTGTGCATATTTAGAAGAAAAAGAGATGGGTGTGCATTATTATAACATTATCGGAAAATCTATATCCTCGATATTAAACCATAATTAAGTAATATTACTCAGACTTGCATCTTCATACATTGTGTACACTTATGCACAATCATTACGTCATCATTCTTAATCATTTTATTTTGCTTTAGACTCGCTTTTCAAATCATGGGTGAGAGAAATATTATTTGCTTATGTTAAGTATCATATCATATAAAGAACTTCTCAACCCCTGTTTAAGAGAACTGGTTCAGCCATCATCACAAAGACATGGCAATGACTGTCATATATTTGGAACTAAAACTTTTCCGATTTAAAAGTTGTGATATTACCTTGAGCTGGAAGAAATCTGTTATGGCGAAGGATTCTGTGTGCACAACTTCAACGGATGAATAGCTTTAGTTTAAAAACACATATAAATCAGTTTTCTCGGAAAGAGAAAAATTATGATTTCATTTAACTTTTGCATTTAAATTAGAAATACTGGCCAATAGATCATTATGAATACAAGTTAAATATCCTTAAAATGTACCATCTAAAGGAAAGAATTAAAATGCCTAAAACTAGGAGTATTTGTCTATTATAAATGTCAAGGGATCTCCATTGAGAGTTCAGCATATTAAACATTAACATATTAAAAGCCTTGTATCTAACGACGCGACTACTACTACTACTTTTAATAATAATAATAATAAAAATAATAATAATACTTATAATAATAATAATAATAATAATAATAATAATAATAATAATAATAATATAATATAATATAATATAATATAATATAATATAATATAATATAATATAATATAATATAATATAATATAATATAATATAATATAATATAATATAATATAATATAATATAATATAATAATAAATACTACTACTACTATTATTAATAATAATAATATAATATAATATACTAATATATATATATATATATATATATATATATATATATATATATATATATATATATATATATATATATATATATATATATATATATATATATATATATATATATATATATATATATATATAAAGACGGAGCATTTAATTTGTATTGCAATAGAGTAACGTTACAGGAAAGATACTTAAATTATCATAGACCATTGTAGGATAATAGTGTTTACGGGAATATAACGTTTAGTGAACAATACCCTTGGAATCCATTCACACATTTTGGTAAAACAATGTCATCAGTCAGCATATAAAATCGAATATTTATGCTACCTACAGCAAGTACATTCATAAAACCGTCATGTTTTTAACATGGACCCTATTTTATTCATTTAGATTATTGCATTTAGTAGTCCGCTGAATAAGAATTCAAAATTTGCCTGACCTGCTTTTGTTAGCTGTTGTAATGCACCTGTAATATTCCTAAAACCAGAATCATACATTTTGTAATGGAGACCAATTTAAAATTTGTGTCCATTTGATTTTACAAAGAAATTAAGACGTAATCACTCCAGCACGTGTGTTGTTTAATGTATTTACTATCAACAAGCAATATCAAGTAGTATTTTGTAATATTTTCTTTATGATGAGCAAACAATAAAGCAACGAAGACAACTCCATATGAATCTATTTAGTTTCATTGCTCATTAAACATTCTCTTGCATCTAGCATTGCAAAATTGGGATCGACATGACAGGGGGAATCCCTTCACAAGGAAATAGTGCACAAAACCTTTGATTCCCGTAAGCTCTATTCTATATCCCTTCACATTGTTAGTTTTTCAAACTAAAGTGCCAAAAGTAAGGATGACGTACATTTCCAGGGATTAAATGTAAGGTACACAACTATAATAAGCCGAAAACTTGTGCGGAGCGATTGTATTTGTATCTTGAAGCCAGTACCACTTGGCCAAGCACGGATATTTTTCACGATTTGGCTCAAATGCAGTATTTAAAACATTTAGCCCAACCTGAAATCATTTGAAGTTTAAATTTTTTGAAAAATTTCCAGCCACATAAAACTCAAATTGCAAGAACTCTTATTTACAATATTCCTGCTTGAATTTCATTTAGTGTGCATGTGTTCGATGTTTATTTTGAACTTTAGCTTGAACAATATTTCAGTCATATCGCTACCATTTCTGAAGTGTGACAGTTTATACTGATGTCCAGCATCATCTTACAGACATGTAGCATGATGTCCCAAACGGTAACTTTATGCTGACACCAGACCTAGCACTTGCCTCTTAACGCTGAGAGCCAAGCGAGGCAGCTGTTAATATAGTATTACTCGGCCGGAGATCCAACCCACGACCACCCGCATCCAAGGCGAACGATCTAACCATTAGGCCACCGAGAAGTGACGTCATGAAGGATATCAAAGGACTCTCCAAGTGGGAGAAGAAAAGTGAGCCGGGTATTCATAGCAACCCCAATATTAAACGAAAACTGAGATATTAAAAATGACGCTGTTTGTATAAATATGCCAAATCTTATTGGCATTTATTGCGAATAAATCAGGAACAAAAGTTGGTCTTTTGTGTGCACGGATATTCGTTGATGATTTTTCAATTTCTGCTAACACCGTCTCAAACTTGTTCAAGCTAATTGATTTACCCCCGACAGTAACTTAATAATAGTTCCTAATTGTGATGAGACTGATTTAACAAGGTGCAGGCAACTCTGAATAGACACGTATACGATAATGTCTTCGTAGCAAATTTAATTTTTTTATCACCACCACAGACACCGGTTACTTTATCGATATACATTTGACAATAATACCTATTGTCTTGAATGTGATTCCATCCATACCAAGATCAACACTTCCTCCTGCAGTAAGGCCGGTGTCTCTGCATTGGTGAATATGGCTTTGTCATTGCTGAAATAATCGCGGAGTGTAATCGCACCTACTGGTGCAGCCTGCCATTGAGTATTTAATATAAGCATGTGAGTGTTCCAAAATGACCTCAAGTTCTATAAGCAGGTTAAGATTATCTCAATGGTCAATTTATATTTGGCGCTTATATGTGAATATATACAAGGGTTTGGTAACACCACCCTGAACAATATATTCAGGTAGAACAAACATATCAACAATGTCAGCATCCGTTGTTAGTTTGTCTAACTCTTCATCAGCGTTGTCAGAATCCATCTAGCACATACAATGATAAAATCTGATCTTAAACAGAAAAACCAAAGAGGGTTAAGTAGCCATATGGATATATATATATATATATATATATATATATATATATATATATATATATATATATATATATATGTATATAGAGAGAGAGAGAGAGAGAGAGAGACAATTCTTAATATTAATGTTGTATGTACAAAAGATTTTGTTGTGCCAGTGTATAGCAAGCTACGTAGTATTGCTATTCTTTCAGGAAGCCTATTTACAATTGATGTTATTTTAATCCATCCGATTTAATAGCTAGAAATATTAAATAAATACGATCAATATATACATGCTCCTAAGACGATAAATTTAGGTTTATTAAAATTATTTACATTATCAACATAATTGCGTCATTTGTTATTTTCTCATATGTTAGATCCTATTATTTGCATATCAACAGTTTTAGGTATCAACAATGAAGCTAATTTTACTTTTGACTGTCGGGGCGGAATCGCCATTATGGTTTGCCTAGTTAGAGCTAACAAGTGGGCCATGTAGCTAAATAGCATAAACAAATAATAGCGTCATTTTTCTCATCTTTTATCTCCTCTTGTTTGCGTTTCAAAAGTTTTATATATCATATAAATTAATATTCCATGCTGAGTGCAAATGTCCGATTTTGTTCATTCACATATTGTCATATTGTAATGTTTGATGCATGGACATAGATTGTCACAAACGCAATAGATATGTCGCTGTCTCTGATTATTCCGTTTTCAATGATCTCAGCAACAACACAACCAGGTACCTTCGAACAATTCGCCGTAGTGGCAAATCCGCTCAGGCTCACATCAGTGCCGCATCGTCGAGATAAGTAACCTTTTTAAACATTGTTACGAAGTACCCGATATTACTAGGCTATATCACCAGTATAATTAAGATGTAAGGTGACTTGTTTGGCAAAGCTAGGTATTTTTCTAAGTTTTCTTTTTCCTTGCATCATGCTATGCCTACATTACTCGCACTGCACGCGCTTGATACAAACTATAAAGAGGGAAGCTATTTGTAAGTTTAGCTGGCGCGGCAAGATCGCCATTATGGAATGCCTAGTTCGAGCCACCAAGTGGGATATCTAGCTACGGGCTAAGTAGCTGTAGCCGCTGTAGTAAGGAGTGATGAAAGACCCGCGGAGAAGTGTCAATGCATGTGTGTATGTTTGTTTGTATCTGTTTGTGTGTGTGTCTGTGCATGTGTATGTGGAAAGCCTGGATGGCTAAAGTGACAGAATCAGGAAAGCGGGTCAAGGGCATCAAATGAAATGTCTAGAAAACATTGGTCATATGTACGAGAAGTGTAAGCATAGTGTTTAACTATGAATATAAATGCCATGATAGTGTTTGGCTATAGAGACATTACGCGTGGTATTGTTTGACTACCTAGACAATGTCATATACTTATTGAATATTCCAACTTATTATCTATTTGTTCTTCATCATTGTTTTACATTGGATACATACCATGTTCTATTGAAATTTTACCAATGTTCTGTTTCTTTAACTTACAATCATTAGTGCAAGAGGAAAATACGTTTTGTTTTGATTGTCACTCACATACATGCTTTATATTCCTTAAATGACATTCAATTTCAAGGGGTGATACCTCAAATAATTTGCAATTTTGGTGGCAGCGGTGGAATGCATTCTGTCCGACAGAATACTTTTGGATTATTACTAATTGAGTTCACACATCAGACATTGTCGGTGAAAATCTTTGAAACTGGAAGGTTTTGAGAAATAACTTATTAAGATTGTGAACGTAAAAGAACTTCATTTTCCTTCGTGCAAGCGAGGAATTGATTTAAGTTTTCGTGTTAGATCACGCCCTACTAAAAATTGTGTCGTCTGCTAGAGCTGGTAAGCAAGTGGGATATAATGAGGATGATTTACGACGGTTATTAAAGAAGAAAAAAATATAAAGAGGAGCGACCTGCGAAAGAGTGACGCGTCAAAATGGAAGGCTTGAAACTGAAGTAGAGAAATTACAAATAAACGCTGGTATTGAATAGGAGATATTTCAGGAAAAGCGCGAGAAATTAGAGATAAGTATGCGTATTGAAAAGGAGATGATGAAAATTGAGAAAGATAAAATGACGCGAATAGATGCTTTGGGGTGTGAAGAGTTAGATTTAGAAATATTACGACTGGAGAACGATAGGTAATCGTGAATGAAATTTCTTTGAAAATAATGATGAATTGGATAGTTAACCACTGAGATATGAAAGATATGCTAATGAGCAGAACCTCAAAAATGAGGGTTGGGCATTACAAGTTAACACTTTGCTGCAAGGTATGGCTTTAAAAATGTACTTAAGGATACCTATGTAGATGCAGTTTATGGCGATTAGTTGAAGGATGCGTTGCTAAACATGTTGGATCTCACTGAAAATTGTTTGAAGAAAAACTTCCGATTTAGTTAACTAGAAAAGGGTAAAAGCTTCAAACAGTTTGTATATATGATATACACTTATTTTTTCCGTTAATAAGATTGCAGAGGAGTCGCAAAGACTTATGAAGCGGCATGTGATATTTTCATCTGAGATCAATTGCTACCGGTATTTAGTAAAGGAACTGTTCTTACACTTATAACATAACACCATCAATAGTTCAAGTGAAACAGCAAAGCAAGCAGATATATTTACTGACTCAAGTGAATGAGTTATGAAAGTGGTTGCCATGGATACGAGAGATCCTAGGGAAAGTAAGCAGATGAAATAAGATAGGAGTTGTTTAGGGAGGACATTTCCACAAAACCAAAATGGGGAATTGGGTAGGTCAGATCAGACTGAATCTAAAAGTCTGGAGAGACAAAATAAATAATGTTTTATTTGTGTTGAATGGGGACATATTTATAGTGCATGTTCAAAACGTAAGAAGGATTTACCAAACACGGTAAGGTTTCGTATATGGTAGGTTCGTTAACTTGTGTGGAGACCACTGAAGGTAGAATCAATCTAAACATGTTAAATGTAGAAGGACAGAGAGGAGTTATTGTACTTGGTTAGACCGTCTATGTTTAGAGATACTGGGTGTAATATTGTTGATGTTAAGCAGAGTCTAATGAGGCCAGATCAATACCTGGGGAAATGAGTGTCGGTCAAAATGATGGACAATACGCAATACAAGTGCCAACAGCATGCGTGCTTATCAAAACACCCTACTATACAGGCGCGACGTCAGTATGTTGCTTGAAATGACTGTTGTATAATTAATTTTAGATAATAAAGAAGGAATATTGAATCCCGCAGCACCAGGGTCAGCAATGGTTAATATTGCAGTTTCCATGGCGATTGAAACTAGACCAAAATCCACGCAGTTTAAGAAACATATCCATCAACTAAAAGTACCCTTGCTGTTGTTGGCTGCCATTAGTCTCGAGAGAATATGGAAATGAGAGGTGTCCCAGTTTGTAGTTGTGCAGCGTCTTTTGTGGCTATGGAGCCCCACACGGGAGTGGCAATCCATGCTGCAGTTGCTGCACTTGTAGGTTGATTCAGGTTGGAACTGCATCCTCTTCCTCTGAGATCTTTTCTCATCAGCGAGCTGACGTTACTTGTCCTAGCTGGCTTTCAGACCATATGGACTTGTCGAGGGCAAGCTCTTCCCAAGTGTTGACTTCGATCCCAAGAGCTCTCATGTCCTGCTTGCAGACATCATTGAAGCGGTGATGTGGCCATCCGATTGATTTCCTTCAAGAGGCAAGCTTAGAGTAGAGAAGGTCTTTGGGGATCCGACCGTCATCCATTCGACGCACATGGCCCAGCCGTCCGATGCGAAGTTGGCGGAGGAGTGTGACCATGCTGGGAATTTTGGCATGTTCAAGCACCTCGTTGTTAGTCACACGATCGATCCAGGTGATCCCGAGTATGCGACGGAGAACACGGATGTGAAAGACACTCAGTCTTTTCTCCTGAGAGGCATTGTTGCAGTCATTTCTGTCGCCATTGTTCTTATATAGAGTTATGATGTTGGCGTCTCTCATGTCTTGAGGCACTGCAACTTCATTCCAGCACTGGCAGAGAATTTCATAAAGGTGTGTGAACAGCACACTGCCACTGCCCTTGATAACTTCTGTTGAGATGTCATCCTTTCCTGGGCTTTACCTGTGGTCAGTTTCTCCAAGGCCAACTTTAGTTCTGCCGCAGAAGGTTTCTCATCCAGTTTGGTCATAAA